GAAATAGGGTGAATACATTTCATTACACTGATTTACTGGTAGTCTCGAAACCCTACTCAAATACGACTATTCTGAAGTTGTTTAGATTTACTACTACCTTCAGGATGGCTAGAAAATAAAGATTTTGACATATATAGAGTGAAATAAAGGAAGAGGGGGAGATATATATATATATATATAATGATTCAGCTAGAGTTAACTTTTGGCTTTTGCAAGAATGAATTCCATCTCAAATGATGCTCATCATGTGACTGACAAAAGGTCAGTTCGGTCTCACCCGAAATGAGAACTGACGCTTCGTGGGCTACGTCAATCGGGAAGTTGTATTAAAGACAAACGATTGCAGAACAGCGGGATAAAAAAATGAATCTCTTCATCGTATGCTTTGATAGGAAATGAAAATTTCCATAATAATATTATTTATTTAAAAAATCAAACAACCTCTTCCTCTCCTCATGGGCAGGCGGATTAACATTTGGGTAAGAAACAAGTTGGACATATGGGATGGCTTCGAAGCAGAAAACGCCATTATTTAGACATATCTTATTCCCCATTACATCTGGAGTGACAGCACACGCACAAAAAATGATACAGAACTGTTCCTCGGTATATGCTCGTCTTTGCTCGTAGGCGGATACAGAAGATACGCTTTCACCTAGGAAACCTATGCGACAGATTAACTACATGGAAGTGACCACACTGTAGTTAAAGGATGCATACAAAGCTGGCATTCCATTGAGCAAATAATACGTGGCCGTAAATGTGTGCATAGTTGTAAAAATACATGCAGAGATACTTGCATATGTGGCAAGGTTTAAAAGGATTGTTAGACACCCTTTCACAAGACCTACTCTCCCACATCATCGCCTCCACTCAATTCTTATCTTAATCAGCCGTTTCAGATGCGAATTCTTCCAACTTGATTACCATTTTGTCGGGTCTCTGTCAGTCACAAGTGCATCGCCATCAGGCATGTCGCCGCGGGCAGGTTAGATGACATCTCGATAGCTGGCGTGACGGCAAGAGCTGGCGAAAAAACACAACTCTAGGCAACTTGCACACTTCACCCCAGCGTTATTGCCGCGAGAACCGGCCGCTGCAAGAGTTCTTGCATTATCGTTGCGTCAGACCACCATTGCGCCATTTTATGTTCGAGAACACTGACCAGACTCGACCCATCAGAGCAGAGACATATGCGCTGTTGGGTCGGTTTGGCCAACTTTAATTCCGTCCCCGATGACCTCGGACCGACTATGCACCTACCAGCCCAGAGGGCAAATGCAATAAACACCGACACACAACACCAGATGATATCATGTGTTTAGCGAGTTTGACTAATCACTTTAGTTCTTCCACTCCCTTCCTTCCCCCTCGCCTCGGCCCTCCTCCACTCTCGGTTTGATAATCTCTCTCTGTTCTTTTGTGTTAATCTCCTCCACTCCCAACTGTACCACTCGTTCTCTCACTTCCGATAGAGCCTCCACACCAGCAAGCTTTTCTCGACTTTACCAAACACACCTTCACCCCATCCGAACGGCACCTCTTCACCTCTGCGGTGTCTCTGTAAAGCAGCGTCTATTGCTGAGATAATTGTCTTCCCACTGCCTCCCGGCCGAATGAGTGAGTACCGGACAATTGTAGTCTGGCGCTTAGACTGAAGCTGTAATATTGGAGCTCTATTGAAATGGCCTCCTCATACTTTCTCTACAGACGAGGACTTGGGAGGAAGTAATGCCATGTTTCTGCTTGTCCACGATGCAGCTTGAGAGGATGTAAGACAGCAAAAGGCCTATGCCAGCAGATGGTTGGAAAATTATGGCAAATCCATTGACTGGAATGCGTTCATGGGCTCTGGCCAGCTGTCCCAAAGTGTCGGACATATTGTAGGCTTGTTCGACAGCTGTCCGTCTGGGGATGGAACCTAAAAAATGCTGTGCAAAGGCATCCGAGGCTGCGGAGGATATGAAATTTGTTCAGACGAAGAGGCGAAATGGTGTCGAAGCTTTAAGCAGAGATAATACCACCTCAAGGAATTGTTTGCTGTAAGTGATTCGTGAACTGGTCCCACCGGAAACTGAAGGAGGATTGTTGAGCTTACTTCCACTTCGAGGGAAAGTGTTGGGTGAAGAGATTCGACGGCGGATTCCTCTTGACCAGTTGTCGATTGGCTTTACTGGAATATTCATGCTGACGCTGTTTCCGAGGTAATCTTCTTCGATTCCGGTGAAAATCTGCTAAGCTTTCCTCCGTCATATGACGAACATCATCAGAGCGAGGTATCATCGTCACAACAAAATTCAAGTTAACGAGTCAAGAAAACTCACCGGCAAATCGCTAAAAAGTGGTATATATACTCTACATCTGGCCTCTTTGATCAAGTATAAAATAATTTGGTTAGTTAAGGTCATATGTCAACTTCGACGCATATGAGTGTGTCTGTCTCTGTATGTATATGTGCCTGTTTGTTAGCTTGAATTTTATTGTGAAGATGATACCTTGCTCTGATGGTGTTCGTCATATGACGGATGAAAGCTTAGCCCCTTTTT